ATTTGCAATCCTTATACCTTAAAAAAACAACTTACACCCCAAATACATAAGAACTACTACAACTCACTTGAAAAAATATGTTTTTAATGAACAAAAGAGTTGGATATATATTACTTCAAAGAAAGCATACAAATAGCCAACAGACATTTGAAAAGTTGCTCAGCATCACTAATCATCATGGAAATGCAAATCAAAACCCCAGTGAGATATCACCTCACACTTGCTAGGATGTGTATTATAAAGAAAAAAAAATTAACATAGTAAAGTTGGCAAAGAAGTGGAGAATTAGAACTTTTGTCCGCTGTTGATGGGAATGTAAAACGGCGAAGCTGTTATGGAAAACAGTATGGAGGTTCCTCAAAACATGACAAAAGTCATACTTCCAGGAATATAACCAATGGAACAAAATCGTTATAACAGAGAGATAACTGTCATTCCATGTTCATTGCAGCGTTTTAAACATTAGCCAAGAAGGGTCGATCTCGGGTGCAGTGGGAAGCCGGAAACTCACAGGTGTGTGGAGATGGTCGCTGCATTGAGAGAACGCAGCAGGCAGAGCTCCCAACCCTGGCCCAGTCTCAGAGCACACCCATCCTTGCCCTGGATGGGCAGGTATGTTTATGTAAACTATTAATATTTCCAAGCCATTGTCTGGAGACTGGGACACCTTTGTTGGCATACACTGTTCCCCAGAAGTGCTCCAGGGCTTAAGTCTGCACAGCCTGAAGAGCCTTATAAATACCCTATCTGCAACACTCCTACCTGCAAAGCCTTATAAATACCCTATCTGCAACACTCCTATTGCCACAGACAAGAGGAAAGATGAGATGGTAAACACAAAGAGCTATGTATTCCTCTGCGAGAAGCTACTCACAGGTTTGTATTTACAGACAACATCCTCTGTGTAATTTCAGGCCCTTGGGTAACTGTAAGCTATTTGGAAGACCCCCAGGGGTTAGTCCTGTGCAAATGAGCAGCCCTAAGATTTCCATCTTCCTCAAAACAATCATTTTCTTTCTTCTAGTCCCTTCGATTCATTAGTAAGGTGACCATATGTCCTAGTTTGCATGGGACAACCCCTGTTTGCATCTACTGTCCTGGAGTAAGTAGAACAGCTCCAGAGTATCCTAGTTTGTTCCATAAATTGTAGACTATCCTCTCCCTTAGCCATACCTGTGTTTCAAGTTAATTCTGCCCTCTAGCGGTTAGAAAGGCAGATGGCCCTGGAGGAGGACCCTCCGGGGTAACATCTGTACATGTAACATCTGACGTTGCCTGCAGGGGTGTGAGGGACAAGAGAGGAGAGCAGAGAGAGGAGAGGCTACCTTGGAAAGTGGAGCTGGTGTCTGCACCCCAGGAGACAGGTGAGTCCCTCAACTCCAGAGGGACTCTCATGATTATTAATAAACACCCCTGGGAAGGCAGACGGCAGGTTACAAAGGCAAAATAAGCCAGGTTCCCAGACACCAAGAAACTTCTAATTGAGTTGAGTAGACATAAAAAAATAAACAACAGCACAAGATCAAGTGTGCCAGGCCCTTGCAGGTGTATATTTATTGAATCATTTATTCATTCAACAAACATGAATTAAAATATCCCAAGCTCCATGCTAGAGATATTTGTTGTCTAGACTGGTATAAACTCCAGATAGAAGGTGCTATGTGTCAGAGCTGTGGTGGGTTCATTGGGTCTTATTCCAAAGTTGCCTTGCAAGGTTCTCATGAAATTAACTTTTTTTCTCAGTTTTACAGAACATTTTATTATTATTTTAATTTTATTGAAGTATGTGGAATTTAAAATAGGACACAAATCAATGAAACAACAACAGACTCACACCATAAAACAGACTCATATCATAGAAGACTTGGGGTTGCCAAAGGAGAGAGAAGTTGGGGAGGGAAGGATTGGAGTCTGGGATTAGCAGACGCAAATTATTACATATAGGATGGATAAACAATAAGGTCCAGTTGTATAGCACAGGGAACTATATTCAATATCCTTTAACAAGCCATAATGGAACAGAGTATGAATATATACATGTATGTGTGTGTTAAATTGCTCTATTCGTGTCTGACTCTTTGTGACCCTATGAACTATAGCCCACCAGGCTCCTCTGTCCATGGGATTTTACAGCAAGAATACTGGAGTGGGTTGCCATTTCTTCCTCCTGGGGATCTTCCCAACCCAGGGAGTAAACCCATGCCTCTTATGTCTCCTGCATTGGCAGGCAGATTCTTTACCACTAGCACCACCCGAGAAGCCCCCATATATGTATGTATGACTCAGTATAACTGAGTCACTTTGCTGTACAGAAGAAATCAACAACTTCACTTATTTTTGCATGATGTTAAATAGGATTCAACCCAACGTACTGACCCAGGCATTGGAGAAGAATGAAAGCTCACCGGTTTGCACTGGAAGAGGCAGCTCTGGAGCTGTGATGTGGGAGGAGGAAGAAGTGATATGGCTGGAATGGGGAGCTCATTTCCATCCTGGAAACCTAGCCCATCAACACCGTAAGTGGAACTTCCCATCTTACTGATCTCTGAATGCCTAAAATGCCAGGTACTGAGTGATAATATTTTGGTAAATGAATAAATGCAAGAATATTCCCACAGCTCCAAAATATGAACTAAAGAACCCTCATGCCAACTGTGGAAACTCGGGGGCCTGAGGGAGGGCCTGGTCTAGCTGCTTAACAATTTTGAGGTCTTAATCATGTGAATTTGCTTCTCCTAGAGAATGGGGACAAGACCGTGTTTTTGTTCTGATTCTGAACTCCGGACATGGGAAGCAGTCACCATCTCTGCCGACCTAGACAGATAGAGGCCCTCTGGGATCCCAGGTTCAGTGAAAAGCTGAGCTGGTGTAGATGGAAACGACAATGAATCTTTGTCCAATTTAAAATGCTGATTAACGAGCTCCCAGGGCTACCCACAGGCACTCCCTGGGGAGGTGATCCTTCTGGTGGAAGGGGTGACTCAGGTCATACATTTGCATAACTGGGTCTACTTGCTTTCTTGAGAGTTTGAGGGATTCTTGGTCAATTGCTGAGCCATATCTGGAAGACTCCCCGTATTCCACCTACCTCCTTCCCCTGCTCGTCACCTGTTCAGCCACTGACTTGATGGAGAAGACCTAGGTCACTCAGAATGACCTCAGGCGCCTCTAACCTTTCTTCTCTGTCCCCTCACCCTCACCTCTCTTCTCTGCCCCTGAGCCCTTGGTCTCTTTCTCTCCCTCCTCTTCTGGGGAGCACAGGCCATCAGTCATTCCTCTCCCTCATCCTCAGTCCCTCCTCCCCACACACCTTCTCTTATCTGCACACTTCTCTTGACCTTGCTGTTCTTTCCAGTTACCTCTTCTTTCTTTTTAATTTCAAACTTACTTTTTTCTGTTTGAAAAGCATTATCTGTATATTAGAGAAAGTTGGAAAATACAAAAAGGTATCAGAAGGAAAAAGATTGCCTATTATTCCACAACCATGAGATGACCACTTTTAAATTAACTGTCCTGTTGATGCCTAAATTCCTGTGTGTGTACAACATACATCTTCATAAACTTGGTGGCATGTTGCATTCACTGTTATAAAATAATTTCCCATTTAATGTATCTTGGACATTTTGTCATATGATATTGTTAAAATATATATTTTATGATTGCTATCTCAAAATGACTGTATTTAACCAATTTTTATTAGATATTTAATGTTTTCTATCTTTTTTCTTTTATTTTTTTATTATTTTTTTCCTTCATCAACTTTTAATTTTATTGATCTTTTTTTTTCCCTTTAATGACCATCTTTTTTTTTTATTAGTTGGAGGCTAATTACTTTACAATATCTTTTTTCTTTTAAAGAGTCAGTTATTATTTTAAGAATTTTTATACTGAAGAGTTCAAAAGAGGTGAAAGTAAGTGTTACTCATTTAGTCATGTTAAACTCTTTGTGACCTCATGGACTATAGCTTGCCAGGCTGTTCTGTGCGTGGGATTCTCCAGGCAAGAATACTGGAGTGGGTTGCCATTTCTTACTCCAGGGGATCTTCCTGACCCAGGGATCAAGCCCACGTCTCCTGCACTGCAGGCAGATTCCTCACTGTCTGAGCCACCAGAGAAACCCATCAAAAAATGGTAGGTTTTTTATAATTTATTGACCTGTATTTAAAAGGAACTTTTGACAAAGATTCACTGGAAATAACCTGAACAAGCAGGAGAATAGTTATTACTACTGAAACCTACAAAAATAGTTCCAGGACAGAGAGTTTATCTGATATAATAACACCTCTAAATACTGTCATTGATATAAAACACTGGTTCTCACTTTTCTAAACACACAGTGATATAATTAATAATATTCAATCACTTCTATTCTTTATTCAGTATATAAAAATTAAAATATCAATTAAAAATGAACATATCCTCCTTTTAAATGTTTCTCACAGATATAATTTCAATATTTTTATTCAATAGTGGTGTGGTTTAAGAGATTTTTCTTTCATGAGCCAAACAACAATCCACCTCAAAGGGAACTGACAGTCTATAGGCTCACAGTGCAAATAAAAGAGTTCAGGAATGCAGCTACAGACATTTCTAAAATACAAAACAGATAAAATTCTTAGAAGATACGTGCAATAAGCTCTGCTAAGCAGCTGGCCATAGAACTAGAAGATTTAGTAATTTTACTGGTGATTTCCATGGGACTCCAGATGTTACCAAACTCAGCCTTAACTCTCAGCTTCGGATTTGTATTTTGCTTTTCCAGTTTCACTAATGACGCAAACATGATTCAAACCCCTGAGGTATTCATTATAGTCAAGGGCATACCTTACGACAAACTTGTCTGGAATATCAATTCCAACAAAATCTGGTCTATAGCCAATGCTTCGAGGGGTCCTTTTCACCAGCAAGCTGGCAACCTCCACTTATCTTTGGATTATGCTGCTGGACCAAGGACAGCAAGGTTTGCATTGTTTTGCCCATGTCAATTATATCTTCAACAATCAAGATGTTCTTTCCAGCCAAAGTTGAGAGATTATCTCCACCAGTGACTTTGATGGCGCCTGTTGACCGGACATTACAGCAGCTCTTAAAAAATCTAGTCTGATAAAATCTACAGTCACAGGAATGGACTTATCACTATTTCTGTCCAGCTCTTTAATGCAGTCCAGCAGGTCCGCAAAGAATGTACGGCCCGCCTTGGGCACACAGAGGGCCACGACGTGGTGGCCTCCCATATCCTCCATCACATCCCGGGCCAGCTTTTCCGTCCTGTCCAGAATGAGTCCATGAGGAATAAACACCTTTTCCAAGTCCTCAGCACAATGGTTAGGTACACAAAATAAATCTAGGCCATAACCTGGTTCCTCATCACTAATCATGATGCAGGGGCTGCGGCGTAACAGAGTTGGCTGGTGCACGGGCCGAGGGCAGCCTGGCGAGGAGGCGGCGGGGCAGCGCGGGGGAAGCCAGAGGGCCCACCCGGTGCTCTTCCTAGTGTCTGCTGTGGCCATCATTTATTATCTATGGGAATAAATTCCTAGAAATATAACGATGGGTGTATGTCAACATTTTTCAGGCATTTGCCATTTTATCAAATTATGAGCCAAAACATTTGCATAAATGTGTATTCTCCCGACAACTCTGTATTTGCCTTCTCTGAGCACCCCCTGGGGATATTCCCTCCCTCAATGAGGTATTGCCATTTTAGAAAGCAATTGCTTTCCCTGTGCTATACAGTAAAAGAATATGGAAAATAACATATATATATATATATATATATATGTATGAATAACTGAGTCACTCTGGTAGACAGCAGTAATTAACACATTGTAAATCAACTATAATTTTTTAAAAAGTTGCTAATTGAACAATATTCTCTATCTCCAGGTTTTCCGTATTTTCACCACCTATTTATTTTTTTAATCTCTTGCAATGTGACTTCTGGTCTCAGAGCTTTTCTAATCCAAAAGTCTTTTTCAGACTTGATTCTTCTTGTTCCTTTGATTTATTTCTTAATCTCTTGAGGCTCTGCATGCCATGCAGCCTGGAGCCCTGAAGTTAGACCTCCGCCTATTCGGGCTCCACAGTCCTCTAGCAGACTTCTCGCTGGCAGCCTCGGATTCCGGACTTTGGGGCAAACTTTAATACACCCCACATCCAAATGGATGGATGGATGGATGGATGGATGGATGAATGGATCATAAACCTGTGTCCTCTCCTTAGTCTCTGGCTCTTCCTACACCTTCGGCTTTCCTGCTCAGACTACAAACACCCCTGTCTCCCTCTACCACCACCATCAATAGTCTCCTCTGCTCCAGTTGGGGGTGACATCTCTAGGGCTGGATCCTACCTCATGTCTCTACCCAGAGACTCAATCCTGAGACCCGGACAATTCTATGTCTCTTGAACGTCTTCTTCTGGATGTCTGTCCAGTTCATCAACTCCTGTCAACAACTTTGATATCCAATTCAGTCTCCCTCTTTCTCTAAGACCCTCTTCCTTACTTCCTCTACTTTTGTTTGCGGCTAAGTGGACCACGACACTTGTGACTCCTCCTCCCCTCTTGCTCCCTGTCTAGCACCTATTGTCCACAAGCCCCCTAGGAGAACATCTTCCTGGTGGATTTCTCCCTCTGCAGCCTTCTTGCTAGTCTCACAGCCACTGCTTTAGCTCAGGCCGTCATCTTCTCTTCTCTGGACAATCTCATTAACTTCTTTGCTATTGATACCCTTCGCCTAGCCTCTTCCTGCTCCAATTCAGCCCATACTCTCAGTGGTTACCAAAGGCTCTTACCTGAGCCATATCCTTGAAGCATTTCTAATCATCTAAATTATCTGCTTAAGATTTGTCATTAGTGAGTAGTTCCTCACTGACCACAGAATACCCACTTCAACCTCTTCAGCCTATCTTATAAAAACACTTTCAGTTTTAGCTCTGGTCTTTACTCTTAGCCTAAACTCCCACCCCACCCAGCAAAGCTCAGTCTGATATGGTCACTCACATGTTACAGGAACGTGCCTTACTCTTCCCCATCTATACATCTTTGTTGATGTCATTCTTTTCAATTGATTTACCATGCTTCAGGGACCAGATTAAATCTTACATCTTCCACAGAAACAGCCCTCATTCTTAAAAAAATTAAGTGACCCTTTACCTTCTGAATTCTTACATCATTTACAAGTAACATACTTGAACATCCTTGTGTAGGTTTGTCTGGCACGGAGGAAGTTTCCTGAGATGAAGGCTGGAGGCTGGAGGGACTGGGATGAGCTAATCACTACACACTCCTAGTACTTACCACAAAATGCCTTAATAATGCTAACGTTTACTGGACATTTACATGAGAAAGCATATTGCATGCATTGCCTCATTTAATTTTCACAGTACATGAGGCAAACTGGTAGCTATGTAGGAGGGACTTAAGGGCTGCGGTCTAACTGGAAGCAGAAAATGACAAGTAAACATGTTGTTTTTACTTAGATTTTTATACAGATTCAAGGTGGCTTTGGAGGATGCTGAGAGCAGTTATGGAAAAGAGGGACAAAATCTTCCCAGCCTACCACTTGGAAATGCAAACTGCTAAGGTAGGAGTTCTTATGCTCATTACACAAATGAGAAAATTGATGCTTAGAGAGGTTGAGTGACTTGCCCAAGGTCACACAGCTGACCCAGGTGGAGCTGGACCTTGAGCTCAGTCCTTGTGACGACAAAACCCAGGCTTTATGGCATCATTATTATTGCAGTACAGCTTGTCTGTACTCCAAAGTTTCCCTCTTTGGAGGTAGGATTTTGCTTTTTTTACAAAGTTATTTTTCCCAAATCAGTTATCACAATGCTTACCATGTAGTTGGAGCCCAGTGATTGTTGTTTGAATGGATAAGTAAATGAATAGGGAGTGAATACAAGAGACAAAGCCATCACAGTAGCCTTTTTCTTTTTATACTCAGATTACTGTCCTCAGAAAATCCAGTGATCTTATGTCCAGAAACCCCCCTTGTCCCTTCTTGGGTATAGAGTCTATGTTTGCCTGCATACATTGGTGTAAATACATTGGCTGGCCTGGCCAATGCTAAGATTTCCTGGATGAAGTAGTGTGGATATAATGATACTCACAGCTACTAGATAAGACAACAACAGCATTTTAAAAAGCTAAGATTGTTGCATGACTCACAGCTATCAAGCATCCTTTATTCCTCTAAGGGAAGGAACCATTTCCTGTAATTTTCAAAAAAGCTTATAATAAAGAGAAGCCATGTATTTAAAAAAGGCTGCGATTGGCTTCTTGTTCAGCAGCTTTAATTATGTAGCTGTACAATTACTCCTTCAAGCATAACCTGGCTAGATCTGTTACTGAATTTGATCTTTTACAACACTGGCTGGATGTGTGCTAAAGTGTACTGTCTATCTGGGATACAGTAAAACCTCGGGATTTTGTTATGGACTGAACTGTGGCCTTCCGAAATTCTTATATTGAAGGCCTAACTCCTGTACCTCAGAATGTGACTTTTTGGAAATAGGGCCTTTAAAGAGATAATAAAGGTAAAATGAAGTTAAATGGGTGGGCCCTAATCTATTATAACTGAAGTCTTTATAAGAAGAAGAGATGAAAACATAGACACAAGGACTTACCCAGTGATCAAAACTCCGTTTTCCAATGCAGGGGGCGTGGGTTCAATCCCTGGTCAGGGAACCAAGATCCCACATGCCACAAGGTGTGGCCAAAAATTAAAAGTAAGTAAATAAAAAATTTGCATGTATGCACTTCCACTTACCACCTTACTCTTCTAGACTCCCTCAAATTGTATGTAATCATTTTATATTGTTAAGTTAGACTTGTTCCCATTATGGCTTGCAATTGTAATTATTTATTATTTTTTTGTCTGGCTATTGATTGTGAAAACTGATAAACATGTTTTACTATTGTGGGAAAAAAACAAACCAGGGACTTCCCCGGCAGTCCTGTGATTAAGACACACTTCCACTGCAGGGGGCGAAAGCTTGATCCCTGGTGAGGGAACTAAGATCCCACAGGCCACGTGGCCTAAATAAATAAAATTTTAAAAAAACACACACACAGAAGGAAGACTATCTGAAGACAGGGAGAAAGCTGTCCTCAGCTAATCTAAGGAGAGAGGCCTCAGAAGAAATAAAACCTGCTGACACCTTGATCTTGGACTTCTAGCCTCCAGAACGGTGAGGAAATAAATTTCTGTTGTTTAAGCCACACAGTCTGTGGTACTTGGTTATGGCAGCCCTAGCAAACTAATACAGATATTAAGGTCTTGATGCAGGAAAAAACCTGGAGGGCATCCAGTCCATCCACCCTTAGGATTCTTGCTTTCACTACTTCACATCCCTCTCATCTTTCTAGCAGTGTTTTTCTTTGAACATCTCCTCTTTGAAGATCTCCTGATTCATGTCAATGTATGGCAAAAACCACTACAATATTGTAAAGTAATTAGCTTCCAACTAATAAAAATAAATGAAAAAAAAACCTAAAAAAAAAAAAAGATGCTTATTTCATTTCAGGCAGCTTTGACTAACAGTGAGCCTTGTGGATGGAACAAAATCTTTGTCCAAATTCTGAAGGCAGCTCTGCAATTGTGCTATCACCAGCACAGAGCAGAGAACTGGCACAATCTCTTTGCAGGCTGGGTTCCCTGGGATGCAGACTCTGAAGTGGAGTTTAGGGGCAGGATGTTTATAAAGGAGCGTCCTCAAGATCAACACCTGTGGAAGAGAGGGGGCCAAAGCAGGAGTGGGCAGAGGGAGATGTGGATCTGAGTACAGCCCCAGCCACAGCCTTGCAGAACCCACAAGGGTCTCTGGCTTTGACTCACCATTGGATGTGGCCCCCTGGGTGTGGCTGCGATCTTGACAGGCGGCTCATGGAAGCCGAGGGAATTCCTGATGCAGAAGAAACCTGTATGCAGAAGAGTAGCCTCTCAGTCAAGGCCTAGCCTGTGGAATCTCTTATCTGAGGGTGAACAATGTGAGCCTGCCATGGAGTTTATTTATGAAACAAACTCACTCAAAGAGCTTCCCTGAGCAGCTGTCTCTAGGAATCTTTATAGCTCAACTAGAACTGGAGCTGGGTCACCAAGTAATCTCACCATAGCACCCCAGCAGTTAAGGCAAGTCTGGGCAGGCTCTGGAAGCACACCACTGTGTTTACCACAGAAGCCTGGGTTTACAAATGACATTTGTAATGAATGTAGTCTAAGGCATGCTATTAGCATATGGAAACACATACCACTACTGGCTTTTAATGACTGTGCAGCCTTGCTAAGTCACTTTGGTCGTATCTGACTCTTTGCAACCCTATGGACTGTAGCCCACCAGGCTCCTCTGTCCATGGAGATTTTCCGGGCAAGAATAC